GCAGCTTGACAGGAGATGAAGCCCAAGGACAAAGCCCAAAAGTCCAAAGAAGACCAAGGACCGGCCCAAGATGCGCCAAGGTCATGTATATATAAGTTATGTGGATGGAAATGGGCCTTTCCACCCATCCAGACACCCCAGGACAGACAGACAAGCAAGCATCGAGCAGGCATCCCGCGACTTGTCCAACCAACCGCCCGCCCGTCAGACAGTCAAGTCACCCCGTCAGGCCAAGCGAGAAAGGAGGGTGTCGTCAAGCGAGCCTCTTTCCGCCCTGGCAGGTCTCATTCCACCACTTGGAATATCCACCGTCCTCCCAACCGTCGCCTCGAAGCACTGTGTCCCACGCCTGAACCAAAGAAAGAAAACGACCGCCAGGGGATGCACATAATCTCCCGTCCTCAAAGTTCCAGCTAGGGAGGAGGACCAAAAAGCAAGACAACCAACCGACCAGACGGATATCCAGGTTAATTTCTCCTACCGAAGCCCCTAGTCCTTGGGGCTTGCTGGCCGGGGAAGATGGGAAGATGGATATCAGCGGGTAACTCGCAAGCAGCCTCGCATTATTGAAAGCACTGGGTCCTGTATAGTACACTTGTAAGTAAGTGTAGAGGCTCGAGGTTGATGCGCCTCACCATGCTTGGGGTTCTCCTCTCCACTGCCTTCCCGCCCATCCACCCATCCATGCATCAAACCACCTTCTAGAAGGGTCAAAGTACCGTAACCCTTACTTGCATAGCTACGCTGGCCCTCTCACATCCTCAGTCGTTAGTGACGCCGCGCCTCCTTCCCCCGGCCATCCTCGGCCGTCGTCCTATCACTTGCATCCTCCATGGCCGGCGCAGATTGCCCGAACAGGGAGTATTCTGGAAACCAGCAACTTCACGAACTCGCCCGCTAGCTCGTCCGGGGTTCAAATGAGCGATTTGTTTCCCCCTTTGCTTCGTGTCCCCGCTGCTTGGGTGACAATGGGCCGGTTAGCCTTTAGCCTATTGAGCTACTGTGTGCTTGCTGGCGAGCTAACTAACCTCCGGCTAGTTATCTGCAAACGAGTTAACTTAGCTTGACGCTCTTCAGGCTAGTGATGTGGCTAAGTAGAGCATAATCCCACTATCCCACCTGTATTCAACGGAGATACCCGTTGCCATCACCACTTAACTGGGCCCTCTTGTGCGTGTGTCTGTCTGTCAGTCAGTCAGTCTGGTTTGTCTGCTTCTCTGGTCAGTCTGGGGTTACTTCCGCTAGTCTTATCATCCTGTAACATGGATCCCCCCCGGACCCTTTACCCTGACCCTCAATCCTGACCCTCAACCCTGACCCTCGACTCAACCTCGCCAACCATGCCCTGTCTTATGCTTAACAGGCTGTGCTATTTTCTCCCGTAAGTTCGTTCTCTCCGATCTTGGCTTGCTGTCTGGCTTGCTTCTGGAAGGCCTTTTTACGTAACTGTTCGTCTTCTGCTCTCCCTTCGATGCATGCCCTGGGTAGCGAGGCTAGCTAACTAGTCGACTGCCGTCTTCTCTTCGCCTTCTTCGCTTCTTCCATCGAACCTTGTTGTTATCGCCAGTGGAGCTGCTAGCCGTCTTCTTCCAAGCAGGACCCTTAAAAAAATAATAGTAATGGCCGTCATTAAGCTATATCACAGTCGTAACTTTTTATTTTAAGAGAAGCCGAAGTAACACTTTTGATACGTCGGAAAGTCACATGCCACACTTAGTTATTAGGTAAGGCCTTCGTATCCGGTGGAGTTTTCCTGGCGTTAAAAAGGCGAAAAAGGGAGAGAAGGGCGCGGGGGATGTGCAGGAGCGCAGCGAAGGGGGCGGATGAGGGGAGATGCAGTTGTAGTCGTCGTAGAGAGGAGGAAGTCAACATAGATATAAGAAGGTCGAAGAAGATGGAGATAATTATTGAACAACCCTGGAGTCGCTGAGTTTTGGTGCAAGACCGTCCATGTCCTTGTCGATGGAGCTGAGATGGAGCTGAGATGCGATCTCGCATCCCCCACAAAACTTCCCCTTTCCTCCCTCCCTCCGAGGTCAGTCATGCTGCGTCTCGGGATGCATCATGGCAGCCAAGCAATGCCCTCCAGAACAATAATGGACCTGTCTAAGGGGTCCATCACACGGCCAGAGCCTGAGTAGTCATAATTAATGGCCAGCATGTTGAGCAACCCCCTTTCCCAGACTGTCTCCATCGCCATCCCAAGTCGACTAAGATTTTCTCCAGCTCCATCATCTCCAGGTTCCAGCAGCAAGTCTCTGGGTCCATTCAGCTCCATCCAGCCCTTCCCGGCCTTGTCCTCGTTGCGTCGCTCATCCCCAACATCTCACTAACACCTAGTTCTGACGACACTTCTTCCCCTCAAAAAGATGTCAAAAGGCGTGCAAATCGAAGTCTATTTGCTGCTAATAATAACAGTCTCTAGCATCGGCCGTCACGTCGCATGGCATTGGCATGGAATGGCATGGCAGGTCGTGGCATGGCATCACATACTTACAACCTTTTCTTCTTCTCAACAAGAATTAAGTCAACCCAATTCGCTTCTCTGGTTCGACCTTGTTTTAGTGTAACGGGCCTTTTCTTCTTGTCGCCACCACGATTTTCTTTTTTGCTCCCTATTTTTCCCTTCCTCGTCGCCTGGTTCGATGAATGGCCTGCGAGATGACCTGTTAAGTGATCTGTTAGCTGACTAGTGAGCGTCTTCGGGTCGGGTCTTTTGCTAGCTTGCTTGCATGGGAAAAGGAACGAGGCCACACGCTCTTTTTCATGGCTCGCATTGCAGTTTTCGCCATCGTCGTCGCCATCGCCCTCCAAGCCAGGGACTAGACTGGCCGACGACCAACCATCTTTTCTCTCTCTCTATCTTCCCCTCCGTATCTCCAGGTTTTTTCCTTTCCTCCTTTTTTTCGCCTCTCGCGATTCAAAAGTTCCAATCTCCCTCGACACGTGATACCAGTCACGTGTCATCTGCGGCTCTTTTAGCTTGTTTCAACAAAAAAAAAAAAACAATCAAGGACAGAATGAACAACTCTGGAACAGGGAGATAATGGGAATACTTAATTACAAGGTCTCGTCTTCAGTCAGAGTGGTCGCCAGCGCCGGATATTCCCCAT